TGAATTACGCAATCCCTACGATTAGTGATAACCTAGTGCGTTATCAATTTGGCAATTTACAAAAATTCCTGCAATATAACAGAGCATTGAACCGTTTCTGTGTTCTGTGTCGTGCCACCTTCAGGGCATCACTTACCATCAATAGCTGTAACTCAAATCTTTTTTGACCTTGCTTCATTTTAAACGTAATTTACCATTTTCTCAATTTCATGTACACCCCCGAGTAAAATTTTCATAGAAATTGAGTTATATGTTCCCTCAGCCCAAGCTTCTCCTTCTGTTGAACTTTCTTCCCCACTGTTGTCCTCAACTCAGATTTTCATTAACTTTTCAACAGTTTTCTCTGTTCAATTTATGCGCTACTTCATCCCACGAAAAGTCTAACTTTCTATACCTACCATTTGGACTGCTTACCACCAGTCGCACGCGTGCCATTGTTTGAGACGCAGAGACTTGAGAGGGACCAATCTCTTGAGCTGACCTGACTCGAACCTCGGGCGATTTCTCAAACCCCCCGGGGCTTCTGTGTAATTTGAAGGTTTCAGAAATGCTCTGTAGTTAGAGAACGTTTAGGCGTTCACCTTTTTTTTAAAATTGTTTATTATCTTTTTTAGCGTTTCTCGCGGCGGTGGATTGCGCGACCACGTTGCCGCGCGTCGGGTGCGCGCATGGCCAAATTCAACGTCGCCGTATTTGTGGTCTTGTCATCACGTCGCCGCGCGTGGCTCCCGCAGTTCTCGACAGGGCCGTGTCCTGTGCGCGTTTCAACAGGCGTGGCTCCGTTGCGGTTTTGCAGTTGGAAGCCGACTCTGTTTAGCTCGTTACAACGCATCTCTTTGTTATGAATTAATACTTGCGACGAATTTATTGGATTTTTATTTGATTTAATTGATTATTCCTGTCCAATAGCCACAAATGATAAATTTTAATTTTAATTTCGATTTAATGAATTTTTGTTTGTACTGAAGCTTTTTTTTTCAAGGTTCCAAACGCTTCGTTGTAACGATATTTTACTAATATATTGTCCGAGGATTCTGTAACAAGCCATCTCATTTTACTCGAGTGGAGGACTCATTTTTTTGTTTTTGTTGTTGTTAGGAGTGCGTTTGGAAATGGAATTGATTTTGCTGGTGAATTTAAGGCGCAGTTTCGTGAGGATCGAGTGTGTGTCTGTTGTTTCTAATACTGATTCGGTGACAAGTTTAAGATACGCATAGACACAAGGATTAAATGCGCGTCCTCTTGAAGTTGAAATTATGGCTAGGATTTGTTTGAAGGGGTTTGAGGTCGATTTTTTGCGAAGTTTTGTGCTTCCCAGGAGCAATTTTGCGCTTGAAAATGCCGAATATGAGACGCTATAGGATATTAGGCTGGCTTTGATTGTTCCGATTTAGTTTCAAGAATAATGTACGTTTTGTATTCTATTTGAATGTATATGTTAGCTCATATTCGGCATCCGAGCAGCACAGGGCATCTTCAAAAGTTTGCGTATTTCCCCTCGTCTATGCTTGAAGTAGTATATTTTTTTGCATTTACTCGTTGGAGAACTTCCCGCGTAGGTACACTAGTACTTTATTGTATAAAATGAGTGCGTCTGTGTCCAGTGTACAGTACTGTTCGTGAGTTTGCCATTAGTGTGGTTGCGAGCTGGACGAAACGCGTCCACGTAGCGCTAAACAAGTCTCGTTTTTTATTTTATTTTTTTATCTTTTTGCTTATGCGCAATTCAAATGCGCAAGTATGAAACGTTTGGCGTGTTTTTGTACATAGTTTGTTGGTGTGATTGCTTGTGAGATGTCTCTTGAAGAAGTAATATGCAGTACTTCATCGCATAAGTTGTATGATATTTGTCCGTGGACTGTGATATGATAATCGAAGCACAACTGATTCAACGCGGTCGAAAATCTCCGGTTTTCTGCGTGACCCGGATATTTGAAAATTTCCTAGAATTTTATCTAAGTCTTCAAGGATTGAAAAATAAATCACCAAATGGGTCGATTCTCTCATCAAGAGTTTCAAGAGAGCCGAAAGAGAGAATATGTCTGAAAACGAGTAAAAATTAATCAAATTGTAGAGTTTCAGACAATTTTTTTTTTATTTTGCCTGCACTGCTCGAATTATCAGAACCCCTCGTGTAGAATTAATTTTCTCAATTCAATCGGAATTGTGAGACATTTTGAAATCCCCAGACCCACAGCAGAAAGAAATTGGAATCCACATTTTATTCGCTTTGTTGAAGTTTATTTTTCAATTTCTGAATCCCAAAAATGCATCAGATCGTCGTTCATTCATTGCTGTGTTATTATGTAAGAGTACAGTACAGTACTTGACTATAGTTCGATATTTCCCCTTCAGATTTTGCCTTCGGGGTTTTTCCGTTTCGTCCACCTGGTGGTCATGGGTCTTCCGTGATTACGTGACCTATGGCAAATTTTGTCCCTGAAGTATTCTTCCTTCAACATCCAAGTGTTGCAAATGGGGTTCTGTAAAGTTACTGCCATTACTTATGAAAATATATTCCAGATTTTGGGCACTTGAAAGGCTGCAAACTGTGACGGTGAAGTGGTTTTTAATTACAGTATTCCTTCTTGTGGCAGCTCGTGTGATAGTTCAACGCGTGGACTGAAAGATCGATTCACTTGCACAGCTGTGTTTGTGACCTTGGAAAAGTCCATCGCCCGTGACGTTCAGTCTTGCGGAACCCCGAAATCCCAGTGCCACAGCTTCTAGTCTCTCCAGTTCACACGTTTGCTTTCCGTCGGTGGGTTGGGTTGTGAACGAATAGAGAAGCAATAAAAGAAGGGGAAAAAACAGTATCACAACGTCGGGAAGCCGTTGGGTTGCGCAATTTTTTTTTCTTTCTTTACTCTGAGTTTCTTGATTCATTACCGTGACTGCTCTCGCTGAATGAGTGTTGAGCTGCCGCATGCAGCTTCGTATTGTGGCAACCCATTGCTTTGATCGACTACTGTGTGATGTCGAAAAGTACGCAACAACACAATGCCCATCTCTCGCTGCGGCATCTGCTGCACTTTGAGTTTCATGGGCATAAACCGACGAGAAGTCGGAAGCTGTCTCTGCCTCCGATTTTCTTCAGCAACAGTAAGCATTTTATGATCACTAGTTTTATATAATTTTTGAATTCGTTACACAATCAGACCTTGCAACTTAATTGCATTTGCTGTGCGGGAGGCACCAGTTTCGATGTGTTAATTTATGAACGTCGGGCAGGTGTCGCATCAATCTCGATCTTACCCGAAGGCCGAGACTTGAGCCCCTTCTAAGTTGAAAACTGACGGTAACTGAAAGTTGAGAATTGTTCATTTCCCCTGAAATGACGCGAATATTCAACGTGGACGAATGGTATATTAATTTGAGTGCGATTCTTTCGCGCTGAAGTAGAAAGGAGAACACACTGTAACTCGTGATTCAGTTATGTGTTGAGTGCTGCGGGATGATCAGTGAAGAGCATATTTGTCGCAATCCAATGCCTAGGAGAAGAAGGACGTGGATTTGGCTTTTATTCTTGCTCAGAGTAGGAAAAGTACTGTTATTACTGTATCTTCATTTTCTAAGTCCCTTGTCAAAGGGTTGATGAGCCCTTCTTCTTCTTGGGGTTGGGTGTACAGGTGTTACCTCGCAATTCGACGGTCGAATTTGCTGGGAGGTCGACTCTCAATCCGACCTCTGCCGCGCTTATCGACCTGCGGAGAGACATGAAACATCGAATTTTATGTAGAAAACATGCTTTTTGACGTTGTCTCGCAATTCGGCTGTCTGCTTTGCAATCTGACCCTAGCCCAGCTACGGATTAGGGTCGAATTGCAACGTACCACCTGTATGTTTAGGGTGGGGGGGTCGTTTTTTATAGGTAATAATCAAATACTTTTTTTGAGCAATGGTGCAGAATAATAATGCAAATGAAAAACTTGCGGTGTGATGGGGAAAATAATGTAGTGGAATTCGTTTCGATGATTCTGACGAAACCGTTGATAAATCAGATCACGTTTTGCGCATATGCACTTGTTTGGCGACAAACTAGGGAATGTTGTTATTATCTCTTCTTGAGTCGTAGATTTCTGATGAACGACAACCTTGTGTATTGGAAGCGAAAATAAACTTCTTGAATATCACTTCCAATGGAATCTCAAGATACGTGACTTATACCGAGTGATTCGAATGAGAACGTCATTTGGAATGGCAGCTGAACAAGAATCATATCTCGTCCGCATTTTCTGGCGTAATGCAAAACGAATTTTTTCGTTGAAGGGTTTCGGGAATGTGTCTGAATATCAGATTTATATTACTTTTGTGGGGGGTACGATCGATTCGATTTAATATTGAAATTTATCAACGTTTTTTATCGTTCAATTTAATTTCGTTGTACCTTCAGTGCGCTCTGTCGATAATTTCGCTTGGTTTTCAAAATGATTTGGTACCTTATGTATTTATTTCTGGCGCTACAAATTTCGAAAACTCTGTGGCATTTTCGAGTCTTGGAGAAAAATTTCGCTTGATCGCGTTTCAACGCCCGATGAAAAATGCAGTAGTTACATTCGCCCCCCCCCTTTTTTTTTTTTTACAGATATTGTTGATCTTTCACTTTTTTTGGAGGGTGTGAAACAAAGCATTTTTTTCTTGAGTTTCGTGGATTTTACATTTTTCAAGATGGGACAGTTTCTCGTAGAATGGCCGAGAAACTGAATTATTAGCCACGGTTCCAAGAGTCTTTTTTTTTCAACTACTTATTATCCTTCAGAGGATTTCTTGGGGAAATCATATTCTCCTTCCATGTGTGTTTCTAACTCCAGAGTCACTGAGCATATTTAATACTGTATAAGATTATCCGTGAATTTCCGGTGTACTTTTCGAACCCACGGCTATAGGTTCTTATGTACCTCAATTCCGTGATGTTGACTATAGAGGTCAAGAAGAGGCTGTCGGAAGTCGTCCTTGATCTTGAGAAATGCTTTTTATATTTGTTATACTGTAATATAAAAATGACTGCAGTCGTTTCCGAAGATGTCGAGTCCACTCGCTCTCACAGTCGTCGGAGTCTGGTTGGAATCATTATCGTGTTGGGGATTATGCAAAACAAGGGGCGCGTCATTGTTACGGACCTTCTTATCTCTGGCTTTGCGCTTTTACCCGAGAACGGATACGAAGATTTATGAAATAAGGTGGCTGACGTTGATCTTTTATTTTTTTGTTTCTATGTATTTTCTCAGGCGCCAGGAGACACTCTGCTTTCCCGTCGTCCGAACGCCGAGGCTCCTTGGGATCGTCGGATGACCGCCACACTGCAATCCTGTTTCGTGATGCCCGCGGCGTGAGTACATTTACGAATGCATATTTATTTCCTGTCCGAATCACTTATTTGATGGCTTTCTTGGATCATTCGCAAGTTTATGGCTTTTTTTT